GCAGAATTAGCCTGCTCAATTTTAGAAGGGATGATGTCCATGCGAATGTGTATGACGTCACTTCCTGTGAAGAGGATCCTGTGAAGATGATTTAGATTTGCCAAGTCAGTAATCATTACAAAGATGAAACCCAACACAAGATGCTTCAGTTTTTATTTCAGATTACCCGACAGAGAAACTCACACTACAGGACAAATTCTGTTACAAATACAATTTGAACAGACAACTTCCAAGTAATACGTTACATATTAAATAGACATATCTCATCGGGATGGTTACTGTTTTCGCATTATATAATTAAAACAGTTGACAGAAAAGACACGAAACCTTAAGTCATTGTGAATTTGGAAAGTGCATGAAAGGTTTTGTTGGCAAGTTGAAAAAATGCATTGTACAGCATTTTGCAATCAATAAGTTGATTTTAGAAGGAATAGTGATTAAAACAAATATAATTTATCGTTGGAAAACGTGTTTTAGTCGTATAAAAATCCCTTTAGATTATTGTTATAGTCAAAGTAATTTTAACCGTCAGAGGTATGGGAAAAACAATTGATACAATGAGTATTTTACTTCTGAATTTTCTATTTTAAGGCCAGCGGATCGATAAACGGCGGAAAAACAAGTGTAAGGTTAAAGAAAGTTTTTACAATCAACGTTGAAAAACGACAATATTAGATATTCATGATCACCCGTTCACGTAAATGGCTAGACAATGCATTACTGTAATACAAACTACATGTATATTTACAAAAATAGGGGAACTGATGAAATTATGCGTAATTATTAATGACTATAAGCAGTGTGCGAAATAGTTTCCAAATTTGCCAGCCAGTCGGGCTAGCTGTGCCTGAAAGTTACTAGCCCACAAGATAATTCACGAGCCCGAAATTTGAATGTAGAAACTAAGCAAAAGATTACAAAAAATATATGAGAATAAGATATTGTCGGCATGACACAGGTTTCATCATTAAACTGCTTATATGATGAACATTTTATCAGGCTCTAATCTTGCATGATTTAAAAGTGTATTATAACTTAACAGTCGGAGAGAGTGATATATTTACAACATGACCCCATGAAAATTCATTACCCATTCGGGCAGGTAACTGTCGAGATTTACTTGCCCGACTGGACGTTTACTAGCCACGGGCTAGCGGGCCAGTGGCTATTTCGCACATTGACTATAAATGTCTGTAAAATTAATTGACACAAGCACTTCGTCTCATGCAATGGCACATCGTCAACTGACTTGCGTATGGTTGCTCTTTGTACTGCCCGCCATACCGACTGAAGAGCTCCTCAAGACTGGGTCACGTTGGGGCGTGATTGGTTTCTGGTGCACACTCTCCGGCCGAGCACATCCCGCAGGTGCTTGACTGGGGACGTGAGAGCACAGAGCAAAACCAGTCCCCGCCTTCTCGTCGGAGATAATCGGTGACGACCTGAGTACTATCTGGTCTGGCTTTGTCATCTACAGTACAACATTTGCCGATGTTTTTAGCGAACTGAACAACCACAGGACGTAAAATCGTTCATATATCGCTAGCCACGTCAAATATATATCCACACCAGTGAAATCAGACCGCTTGTAAGATGCAATACCACCCCCACCATACTGGGATCCAGAGGAGGGGGTGCAGGGTGCGTACCCCACCATACTCGGATCCAGAGGAGGGGTGCGCACCCCACTTTGTCCTGGAAGTTTATTTGACCATTGAAACTCGCGTGAAAATGAAGTATGATGTACAACATGTGACACTTTAATAAACAATTTTCTTCTTCTTCTACTTCTTCTTTATTCCAAAATTATGAGACAAATCATCAGAGTTGGTCTGTCGATTTCATTTGATTGTGCAAAATTTGGTTTTGTTGCAATTATTAGATTTTGTGTTGGTGAGCAATTCATCGGTCTCAAATTAAATCAAACGGACTGTAGATGGCGTGTTCATATGCAACTCCGTGGTATTCTAAGTACACCCCAAAGACAGCCTGCATTCGAATCATTAGTTCCCCATCGTCAGAAGTATATATATATATAAGTTATACTTTGGTGAGAAAAACTTCGCAAGCACTATATTGAAGCCACGAAACGTTGACAAACATCACACAAATATATCGCGCAAAATGTTGCATAATTTGTTTGTTTGTTGTCTTAGCCGCACTCTGCAATATTCCAGCTAAATGGTGGCGGTCTTTAAATAATTGAGTCTGGACTCAACCGCATGAGTATCGATGTACGATGACAGCGAGTCAGACCACCCGTTCCCGTACGTCGCCGTTTACGACAAGCATGGATTGCTGACGACCAATTCTAACCTGGATCTTGAGGTGACATCAACTGACATATGAAGTTGGCGAGACGCTGTGCCAAGTTAGTTGGTATTCAAGCTGTCACCGTGCTTTGAATATTGTATTTGGCACACTGAAGCCAGTATTTCAGTGTGGACATCCATTTTATGGCAAAACGTGACAAATGATTTATCTCAAAGCTTATGTGCACGCATGATCGTGACTTCTAGTGACAGTTCCAGCCTGCTTGTACCAGAAGTAGGTTTTGATTGGCCGTAATGGCAAGTAATTAAATACTGACGGTTCAGGATAGAGATTATACTTTGTGTCTTCTCACACGTACACACGCAGTTGTGTAAGTAATTTGATATTTTGTAAAACAGAAAAATAGTTAAGTTAATAACACACGACAAAAGTGAACCTATTCTAATTACTGACCAGGAACAATACCGCGGTATCACACTCCCGTTATATCGTTGTATATATACTCTTCAAAAAGAAGAAACGTACAGGCGTTTTCAGCAGTTCATTTCGGTATATGTTGAATGCAGTCGTCATTAAGACAATTACTATGTTTGAATCCCGTTAATCATGTCGTGGTTGGTGTGTACACCATCCCAAAATGTGTTTGTAAACGTTTGTCATAAAAATGAAAACGATACATGAAAAGTGCATGAGGAAAGAGTTTTCCACGTAATGCACGTGCAATGTGTTGAAAATATGAGTAGAGACATCGACTATAAAAAGGATAAACCAAATTCACCATTTCATTACGAAATTTACGTCGTAAACGAAGAAAAAATAATGCTACTGACCGAAATATCGCCACTAGATGTTTGGAAGCAGGGGAGTCTCAGCCTGCCGTTGCGAGACACTTCAACGTCCACCCCAGCACCATATCGCGATTACGACATCGATATACCCGCTTCAATTCGACCCAAAATCGCCCCAGAGGTGGAAGACCAAGAGTGACCACTCCTGCTCAGGACCGATTCATCCGGGTGTTTAACCTACGTCACCGATTTGCTACAGCAACGGACACTGCAGGATAGGTGATTGGTCTTCGAAGAATTTCTGTCCAAACTATCAGAAATCATCTGAGAGAATTTCCTTCATATATGCTCAAGCTTAATCGATTTGTCCTTATCTTTGGCCGGCGCATTTCATTTTTGAAGAGTTTATCTGATATTGACCAGGACCAATACCGCGGTATCACGCCCCCTTATGTTGTTGTATATATCTGATATTGACCAGGACCAATACCGCGGAATCACGCCCCTTTATATTTTTGTATGTATCTGATACTGACCAGGTACAATACCGCGGTATCACGCTCCCCTTATATTGTTGTATATATCTGATATTGACAAGGTACAATACCGCAGTATCACGCTCCCCTTATATTGTTGTATATATCTGATATTGGCCAGGTACAATACCGCGGTATCACGCTCCCCTTATATTGTTGTATATATCTGATATTGACCAGACATGGGGTAATTGTAATTTGTAATTGTAATTGAATGTAATTTATTACAAAAATCTATGTAATTGCATGTAATTTGTAATTGAATGTTTAAAATGTAATTTGTAATTGTAATTTAATTAATTAATATCTCAATGTAATTGAATTTTTCAATTACTTTTCAATTACATCTCACTTTTTATTTTGGTGGTCATCGGGCAACCCTTGCAATTATATTATGTACAATAAGGAGGACAAAGCATTGTTTTTCAATAAGATGCTTGTTGTCGGTATATACTCTAGCAGGTGTTAAGTTTTGAAAGAGTTTTGAATGTCTAAGCCTTTGTAACTATCACCATCTGCACATTTGTGAAACAAAGGGAAGCACTAACACATGACTGAATGTAGGTTGGTATTTGAAGAAAATGGGGATTAACAGTACTATTAGTCATGTTCCTATCAAAATGGCCTCTTTGTTTATTTCTCACAGGATATGATATTCAAAATCTTACTGAACTGTAGTCCTATTTTTATAATCATGAAAGGTAATAAGCCATAAATCCAAGTTGACAAATCCTTTAGTATGTTAATGTGGATTATGTCAGATAGAGAGACCGGCTGATTATATATTGTAATGTAGGCCTGTAATGATGTCATGATACAGTACACCTTAGGTAACAGTGGTGGACAAAGTGTTTTTGCAACAAGAGATGATAGAGGTGTGTATTTGATAATAAGCCCCAAAAATATGCAAAATACAAATTTGATCAAATAGTGTACATTGTAGATATAATCTAATTTTGCATTTCACTTTTTGATGACAAAAATATGAATCGGATTTAGTGACCACTCTTTACCAACATCGATATCTTGTTGATTAAAGGAATACAGAAATATATTTGTTTTGTTTTTTTAACAAAGTAATTTGTAATGTAATTAATTACATTGGTAATGTAATTGTAATTTAATTAATTACATATTAATTTAAGGTGTAATTGTATTTGTAATTGTAATTGAGGAAAATCAAAGTAATTGTAATTCAATTATTTACATTTCAAAGTAATTGAACCCATGACTGATATTGACGAGGTACAATACCGCGGTATCACGGCCCCCTTATGTTGTATATATCTGATACTGACCAGGTACAATACCGCGGTATCATGCTCCCCTTATATTGTTGTATACATGTATATCTGATATTGACGAGGTACAATACCGCGGTATCACGGCCCCCTTATGTTGTATATATCTGATACTGACCAGGTACAATACCGCGGTATCCTGCTCCCCTTATATTGTTGTATACATGTATATCTGATACTGACCAGGTACAATACCGCGGTATCACATTCCCTTGATGGCGCTGTATATGGCTGTAGTCACACTGACCACGTCTGGTATGACCACTGCTCCGAATATAATACACATGAGTGATATGGCCAGATACCCCATGTTGGTAGAGGAAGACCGTTGGTCTTTAGTGCTCTTCTTCTTCTGGACAGACTTGCTCAAAGTCTTAATCTCCACTTTCAGTTCCTTCTGTATCGACAGCGCCACTTCTTTCACTTGTTTGGTATCCGAGGGAAGGGACAAGTCCTTGCATCGACAGGCACACCTCACCACAACCTTGCGCACTGGAAAAGGGTTGTACGAAGTGGTCGTTGGTGTAGTCGTAGTCGTGGTCGTGGTTGTGGTTGTGGTCGTGGGGGTTGTTGCTGCTGTAGATGGTGTTGCCGTGTTTGTGGTAGACTGTGTGGTATCACCTGTCGATATGTCAGTTATGGGTGCTGAAGGTGTTGTACTGGAGGTTGGTGTAACGGTCATTGTTGTAGTCGTGGTTGTGGTTGTGGTCGCGGGGGTTGTTGCTGCTGTAGATGTTGTTGCCGTGTTTGTGGTAGACTGTGTGGTATCACCTGTCGATATGTCAGTTATGAGTGCTGAAGGTGTCGTACTGGAGGTTGATGTAACGGTCGTTGTTGTAGTCGTGGTTGTGGTCGTGGTTGTGGTTGTGGTCGTGGTCGTTGGGGTTGTTGCTGCTGTAGATGTTGTTGCCGTGTTTGTGGTAGACTGTGTGGTATCACCTGTCGATATGTCATAGACTGTCGATATGTCAGTTATGAGTGCTGAAGGTGTTGTACTGGAGGTTGATGTACCGGTCGTTGTATCTGTGGTTGTTGCCGTTGTTGCCGTGTTTGTGGTAGACTGTGTGGTATCACCTGTCGATATGTCAGTTATGAGTGCTGAAGATGTTGTACTGGAGGTTGATGTGACGGTCGTTGTTGTATCTGTAACAGAACGTCTATACGGTTTGCAATATTTCAGAAAAGTTTATACTGTCAGTCCATGGGATACAGCTAATATGGAAAATTACCTTATCTCGTGCCGGATAGACTGTAGTTCAGGGCCTAGATTTTCGAAGCTCTCTTAGCGCTAAGGTGGTCGTAAGTTAATGTTAAGGCATGGCATTTATGTCTACCTTAGTTCTAAGAGAACTTCGAAAATCTAGGCCCTGTTTTATTCACTTATCATATCCCATGCGACCATGTGCCGGTTTCACTGTACTTCCCTTGTATTCGCTTACTACACCCCGTGATATGTTGCCTATTGGATTGTAGTGCCGTTATTTTCACATACCTCACCCTGTTATCTTTCTTGATTGTAGTGCCGTTATCTTCATATACCACACCATGTTATCCCACTGGATTACAGTGCAGCCATCTGCACTTACCACACCCTGTTATCCCACTGGATTGTAATGCTGTTATCTTCACATACCACGACCTGTAATCCCACTGGATTGTAGTGCCGTAATCTTTACATACCACACCCTGTTATCCCACTGGATTGCAGAGCCGTTATTTTCACATAACTCACCCTGTTTTCCTACTGGATCGTAGTGACGTTATTTTCACTTACGTGGCCCTGTTATCCCACTGGATTGTAATGTCGTTATCTTCACATACCTCACACCGTTATCCAAGTGGATTGTAGTGCCTTAATTTTCATTTACCACACCCTGGTATCCTACTGGATTGTAGTGCCTTTATTTTCACTTGCCACACCCTGTTATCCTCCTGGATTGTAATGTCGTTATATTCACATACCTCACCCCGTTATCCAACTGGATTGTAGTGCCGTTATCTTCACATACCACACCCTGTTATCCCACTGGATTGTAATGTCGTTAACTTCACATACCTCACCCCGTTTTCCAACTGGATTGTAGTGCTTTAATTTTCACTTACCACACCCTGGTATCCTACTGGATAGTAGTGCCTTTATTTTCACTTGCCACACCCTGTTATCCTACTGGATTGTATAGTCGTTATATTCACATACCTCACCCCGTTATCCAACTGGATTGTAGTGCCGTTATCTTCACATACCACGCCCTGTTATCCTACTGGATTGTAATGTTGTTATATTCACATACCACATCCTGTTATCCAACTGGATTGTAATCTCGTTATTTTCACATACCACACCCTGTTATCCTACTGGATTGTAATGTCGTTATATTCACATACCACACCCTGTTATCCAACTGGATTGTAGTGCCTTTATGTTCACTTACCACACCCTGTTATCCCACTGGATTGTAGAGCCGTTAGCTTCACATACCACACCCTGGTATCCCACTGGATTTGTAATGTCGTTATCTTCACATACCATACCCTGTTATCCTACTGGATTGTAGTGCCTTTATTTCACTTCCCTCACCCTGTTACCCTCTCTGGATTGTAATGCTGCTATCTTCACATACCTCACCCCGTTATCAAACTGGATTGTAGTGCCGTTATCTTCACATACCACACCCTGTTATCCCACTGGATTGTAATGTCGTTATCTTCACATACTACAACCTGGTATCCCACTGGATTTGTAATGTCGTTATCTTCACATACCATACCCTGTTATCCTACTGGATTGTAGTGCCTTTATTTCACTTCCCTCACCCTGTTATCCAACTGGATTGTAATGCTGCTATCTTGACATACCTCACCCCGTTATCCAACTGGATTGTAGTGCCGTTATCTTCACATACCACACCCTGTTATCCCACTGGATTGTAATGTCGTCATCTTCACATACTACAACCTGTTATCCCACTGGATTGTAATGTTGTTATCTTCACTTGCCACACCCTGTTATCCCACTGGATTGTAATGTTGTTATCTTCACTTGCCACACCCTGTTATCCTACTGGATTGTAATGTTGTTATCTTCACTTGCCACACCCTGTTATCACACTGGATTGTAATGTCGTTATCTTCACATACCTCACCCCGTTATCCAACTGGATTGTAGTGCCGTTATCTTCACATACCACACCCTGTTAACCCACTGATTGTAGTGCCTTAATTTTCATTTCCCACACCCTGGTATCCTACTGGATTGTAGTGCCTTTATTTTCACTTACCACACCCTGTTATCCTACTGGATTGTAATGTCGTTATCTTCACATACGTCACCCAGTTTTCCAACTGGATTATAGTGCCTTAATTTTCATTTCCCACACCCTGGTATCCTACTGGATTGTAGTGCCTTTATTTTCACTTGCCACACCCTGTTATCCTACTAGATAGTAATGTCGTTATCTTCACATACCTCACCCCGTTATCCAACTGGATTGTAGTGCCTTTATTTCGACTTACCACACCCGGTTATCCTACTGGATTGTAGAGTCGTTATATTCACATACTTCATGTGATAAGTGAAAATAAAGGCACTACAATCCAGTTGGATTATCCAACTGGATTGTAGTGCCTTTATTTTCACTTATCCCACTGGATTTGTAATGTCGTTATCTTCACATACCATACCCTGTTATCCTTCTGGATTGTAGTGCCTTTAAGTGAAAATAAAGTTATCCCACTGGATTGTAATGCTGTTATTTTCACATACCACACCCTGTTATCCTACTGGATTGTAATGTCGTTATTTTCACATACCACACCCTGTTATCCAACTGGACTGTAGTGCCTTTATTTTCACTTACCACACCCTGTTATCCAACTGGATTGTAGAACCGTTATCTTCACTTACCACACCCTGTTATCCCACTGGATTGTAGAGCCGTTATCTTCACTTACCACACCCTGTTATCTTACTGGATTGTAATGTCGTTATCTTCACATACCTCACCCCTTTATCCAAATGGATTGTAGTGCCTTAATTTTCATTTACCACACCCTGGTATCCTACTGGGTTGTAGTGTCTTTATTTTCACTTGCCACACCCTGTTATCCTACTTGATTGTAATGTCGTTATCTTCACATACCTCACCCCGTTATCCAACTTGATTGTAACGCCGTTATCTTCACATACCACACCCTGTTATCCCACTGGATTGTAATGTTGTTATCTTCACATACCGCACCCCGTTTTCCAACTGGATTGTAGTGCCTTAATTTTCACTTACCACACCCTGGTATCCTACTGGATTGTAGTGCCTTTATTTTCACATACCTCACCCTGTTATCCTACTGGATTGTAGTGTCGTTATCTTCACATACCTCACCCCGTTATCTTACTGGATTGTAATGTCGTTATCTTCACATACCACCCCGTTATCCAACTGGATTGTAGTGCCTTTATTTTGATTACCGCACCCTGGTATGCTACCGGATTGCTGTGCCGTTATCTTCACGTACTACATCCTGTTATTCTACTGGATTGTAGTGCTTTTATTTTAACTTACCTCACCCTGTTATCCCAGTGGATTGTAGAGCCGTTATCTTCACTTACCACATGCCATGTTACCGTACGTCCAATTGATTGATGTCAGCTTGTTTTCACTACACCAGAACGTCACTGACCGGTTGTCGTTACAGAGGTGTGTGAAAATGGAATCGACGCCAATGTCTTGAGTCCATCTTTGCACGACCCAAGGTTGTGTGGCTTCCGTATTCCAGAAGAAACACTCGACGATGTTTGCAACGACGTTGTTGGGCCGATTGAAGAACACCTCCCCCGTCGTCACGGCTGGCGGCGAGGTGGCTGTAATATCAATCAGGTTTGGGTCAGCTATATATGTACTGTAAGCCGCCCCGTTCAACCAGACGGAACGTTACAGAAGTTACAGAAGTTACAGCACCTGGAAATAAACACACACACCCGGGCCTTCGGCGTGACGACCGACCGCTTTAACCACTAGGCTACCCCACCGTCTCCACCATGTTGGAGGATTCTTAGCATTTTGTTTGTCAATGCTAAACTGTACATCAGCTAACGTCTAATTATATTTCTCCACCTCATTCATCTACCTGTCCTCCTCCCTGAGCATTTATCTCTCTGCCCCCCCCCCCCTCCCCCCCTCCCTGTATCTAAGCATATGTCTCTCCCCTTCTCTATCCTCCCTCGTGCACGTGAGCATCAATCGAACACCACCCATTTCTTACCAGATACATTTGGTGAGTGAGTGAGTTTACTTTTACGTCACACTCAGCAATGTTCCAGCTATATGGCGGCGGTCTGTAAATAATCGGATCTAAACCATATAATCTAGTGATCAACAGCATGAACATCGATCATCGCAATTGGGATACGATGACATGGTCAACCCAGCCAGCGAGCCTGACCACCCGATCCCGTTAGTCATGGGTTACTGAAGACCAATACTAACCCGGTTCTTCACGGGTAAGATATATTTGGCAACAATTGTACTCAAAAACATGAATATCAACAATGTCGGAAAGAATGGTCACCATGACTACGCCACTTATCCAATCGTCACACAGTTCTCAAATTATGTCCGTCGGCAATTCTGGCAATAAGGTGTCGAATTCTCAGCATCGGACTAATCTGCCATTCCTCGTCCAGAATTACAGATTTTTAATAACGGTTCCAAACATGGGAAAGTATAATCCCAAACATAACATAAGTTACAGCAGTATCTCCAGTTCAAACGTGGCGTCCAAGACCGTCAGGATGATGGGGTTCAAATCGGGGCTCCCTGTGGGCCATGGTCAAATGTTTCGATGACGTTGTTCTGCGAATGTCAGATGCCGAATCAGGAACCGTGAGATCTAGCGTTGTCATTCATGAGTATCGTTCGACTGCTAGGGGATGGTTATCAAAATGTGGCACGACGGCGGTAATATATCATTCCTGTTGATATCGTTGACCATTAATTGCCCCAGGTACTCTAATGAGATCCAACTTGCAGTCATACGATACGCAACCCCATGTCGTCTCTGAGCCACCACTGAAGGGTTAGCTGCTTCGATCTCCTCCTGGCAATATGCCTCATTACGACGTCTCCATACGAAACAACGGTCGTTGGTAACCTTTACAAGACTTTCAGACCAAGAACCCTACGCCACATCCTCAAGTTGCGGTTTTCTCGGAGCTCAGACGGTACCGCCAGATGTAACGCACCACGCCAGATGATGTTGCTCGTGCCTGTCTGCGAGAACAGGACGTCTGATTGGACGCTGTTACCTCAGACCGACAACCCGCAGCCTCCTACTGATGGTAGAGACGGAGTGCCGGATACCCACTTTCTACTGCTGATTGCGTCTTGCCAGACGAATTAGAATTTGGTCATCACGGTCATTCATTGGTCTTCCTCGGTCTTTTGGACCATCCTTGATATAACCTTCTAGAATCATCCCAGCACCCATAACAGCAAGTATGAGAGATCCACACATGAGTCGATTTGCGATGTCCATACCCGGCGTCCATATTCATGTCGGCTGGTAGGGTAGCACATTTTCAATCTGATTTACACCTCTAGGATGCACAAACTTTCCGACTCTTGCACGCCAGACCTCTATAGATATCCCCATAATGGAGTATATCTAGTTCATACATGTGATTTTTTTCAAGGATAATTATAAGTTTTGCTGATGAGCAAAGTGAGAAAGACTTGACTACTCAAGGGAGATAATCAACGGATCCTTTACTTCAAGCGCTTCCTCGCAAGACGACTAATAACCGTGTGGTACAGTGTGCAGTCGTATAAAAATCCCTTAAATTATAGTTATAGTCAAAGTAATTTCAACCGTCAGAGGTATGGGAAAAAACAATTGATACAATGAGTATTTTACTTCTGAATTTTCTATTTTTAAGGCCAGCGGATCCATAAACGGCGCAAAACAAGTGTAAGGTTAAAGAAAGTTTTTACAATAAACGTTGAAAAACGACAATATTAGATATTCATGATCACCCGTTCACGTAAATGGCTAGACAATGCGTTACTGTAATACAGACTACATGTATATTTACAAAAATAGGGGAACTGATGAAATCATGCTTAATTATTAATGACTATAAACAGTGTGCGAAATAGTTTCCAAATTTTGCTAGCCAGTCGGGTTAGCTATTCCTGAAAGTTACTACCCCACAAAATAATTCACTAGCCCGAAATTTGAATGTAGACCCGGGTTTCACCATTAAGCTGCTAATATGATGAGCATATCTATTTTGCATGATTTCAAAGTGTATTATGATTTAACAAGTCGGAGAGAGTGATATATTTACAAAATGACCTCAAGAAAATTCACTAGCCAGTCGGGCCAGCGACTGTGGAGATTTACTGGCCCGACTGGATATTTACTAGACACCGGCAAGCGGGCCAGTGGCTATTTCGCATACTGCTGGTACATGTTTAAGTTAGCCCCGCTGTTGCGACAGGAAATCGCTGCGTCATGCATGTCATTTGTTTACTGAAGGTCTTCGTCTCGCCATGTAGTACAGTCGTCTGGTCAGTCGGTTCAGAATCGTGTAGTGTACATACTGCCAATATTAACATTTATATAATTTGGCGCCTTGGCAGAACGTGAACATGCGGCTCCTACGTTATGGGATATTGTATGGTGTTTGAACTAAAATGCAAAAAAAAAGCCATTGGATTACGGTGGTGTCAAATTACTGCGCATGTGTATATGTCCCTAACCGAATTAAATCCGGATCTGGCTGGACTAGTGAACGCTTGACCCCAAGACCTCACAAGCTATGGTTTACGAATCACTTACGGCATTTGCTGATCATACAGACTTCAGCTTCAAGAGGGTGGACTCTTGTATAGCACCAGGGTTTCGTCATGGACTCGCCAGGGTTGCGACAGTGATTGTGATCACGTCCACGGTCGGGGAACGTCGTCGGCATCTGGAACGGCACTGCATCCAACTTCCAAGACCGACAACTCTTGCCGGACGCTGTGACGTCAATCATCCCCGTATACTGTATGTCTGAAGAGTCTTCCACACATCCGCCGCCTGAATATTCAAATAAATATATGCTACAAAAAACCCTTTCAACATGGATAAGAAGTTGACAAGTCTCTGCAGACAGCAGAGTCGATTGTACACTTCCGACTATATTATGGACATGTGTTTGTTTATTTGCTTGTTTGTTTGGCACAAACAGCAATATTTCAGTTGTATAACGACTGTCTGCAAAAAATCGAGTCTGATAATATAGTGCTTCATATCTTGGTTGATTTGGGCGGTGGGGTAGCCTAGTGGTTAAAGCATTGGCTCGTCACGCCGAAGACCCGGGTTCGATTCCCCACATGGGCACAATGTGTTAAGCCTATTTCTGGTGTCCCCCGCCGTGATATTGCTGGAATATTGCTAAAAGCGGCGTAAAACTAAACTCAGTCAGTCAGTCTTGGTTGATTTATTTGTTGTTTAACGCCGCACTCAGCAATATTCCAGCTATATGGCGGCGGTCTGTAAATAATCGAGTCTGGACCAGACAACTCAGTGATCAACAGCATGAGCATCGATCTGCGCAATTGGGAAACGATTACATGTGTCAACCAAGTCAGCGAGCCTGACCACCCGATCCCGTTAGTCGCCTCTTACGACAAGCATGGGTTGCTGAAGATCAATTCTAACCCGGATCTCCACGGGTCCTTGACACCTTGAGACACGATGACAGAGCATGTGTTTATGAATCACTCTCAGATAGTTATGACAGCAGGTGTTCCCATGTTATGTTGGAATAAGTATTGGTGTTAATCTCACGGCACTGATACATACGTCATGTAACTGAATCTAGCCCGCTGTCAGAATGGACATCATAATACCAAACATGTTTTACAATTTAACATTATATACCTTAAGGCCATTCTTTTAATGATGGTACATGCTGGGTTTGGGACCTACGTGTCTGTGGGACCACATGAGGTTGCCAAGCGCTGGTCCCAGGAGTGGACCTCGTGGATCCTCGATGTCCAGTTCCTACGGATCGACTGACTGACTGACTGAGTTTGGTTTTACGCCGCTTTTAGCAATATTCCAGCAACATCACGGCGGGGGGACACCAGAAATGGGCTTCACACATTGTGCCCATGTGGGGATTCGAACCCGGGTCTTTGGCGTGACGAGCCAACGCTTTCACCATTAGGCTACCCCACCGCCCCCCTACGGATCGAATGTGTGTTTGTTTTGTTTATTGTTTCACGCCGCACTCAGCAATATTCCAGCTATATCACGGCGGTCTGTATCCCAATTACGTAGACCGATGCTCATGATGTTGATCACTGGGTTGTCTGGTCCAGATTCTATTAATGACAGACCGTCGCCATATACCGGGAATAATTGCCCCAGTTAAAAAACAACCAAACCAAATCCTTCTGTAAGGTCCAGTTGCAAATTACAAACTGCTCCCGATGAACTAACGTATGTAAAGACCAGTAGACTATAGACAACACGTGACTCACTGCAAAGTCCGACCGGGCAGTATTCCCACTTGACATTGCTGTCGGTCGTGTAGCACCAAGGGCGGACAACTGTGCCCGTCACAGATTCGGAGCCTTCTGGGGAGCGGCAGTAATTCTCCGGTGCACCTGCACTGAACTTTTCCTCGGGGATGGCCGTGGCGGATGACACACTGTCCCACCGCCGGCAGGCTAATCCCGACACCGTCATGTTGACCCTGCCCTTGTAGTCCCACCCTTCCTTCGTCAGCATGCATTCCAGAGCTAGGGGGAAGACAGTCAGCAATCAACAGGACATCATTTTTCTATGCTACTCAAAAGAACTAAGTCCTAAGAGGTGACTTACGGGGTCGGGTGGTCAGGCTAAGCTGGTTCCCGACTCCCTTTGCGCGCGCCACCTTGCGCCAGGCGTATATTGCAATATGCGAGACGGGGCCCAGGACTTCGTTGACATATGTCATCGTATCCCAATTGCGTAGATAGATGCTCATGATGTTGATCATTGGATTGTCTAGTCCAGACTCGCTTATATACAGACTGCTCGAATATTGCTGTGTGCAGCGTTAAATAACAACCATCCAGCCAACCAACCACCCGAGTCTTATATTACTGGATGTGAAATGGCGATTTGATAACATTTTAGAGGATCATATTTTGTTGACATTCAAGTCAATCGCACAGATTCCAGTAAATGCAGTTGAGAGGTTTACTAGTTATGATTTAGTTTATATTGTTTTTAGTTTTGTTCCGAAGGATGAGGAAGTAGTATTGTTTGGTTGTTGTTTAACGCCGCACTCAGCAATATTCCAGATATATGGCGGCGGTCTGCAAATAATCGAGTCCAGGCAATCCAGTGATCAACATCATGAGCATCGATCTACGATAGTGGGATACGATGACAACCAAGTCAGCGAGCCTGACCACCTGATCCTGTTAGTCGCCTCTTACGACAAGCATTGATTGCTGTCAGCTTGCTGAAGACCAATTTTAACACGGATCTTCACGGATCTAAAGTACTAGTGGAACTAGATGCAGTCCACGTGGCTGGTGAATTTCGCACGAAAACACCGTAAACCCCACTTGGACATTCCGGGACGGTGGGGTAGCCTAGTGGTTACAGCGTTCGCCCTTCACGTCGAATGCCCGGGTTCGATTCTCCACATGGGTGCAGTGTGTGAAGCCCATTTCTGGTGTCCCCCGCCGTGATGTTGCTGGAATATTGCTAAAAGGGGCGTAAAACCATACTCACTCACTCACTGGGACATTCCGGGACTGAACAGCGCCCCAGCGACCCCTGTCGTCGTACGGGGCTGCGTAATGTGGCAGAAGGGTTAGATGACTCCATATGACGTGGTTGATAGCGTGTCATGGTGACCCGAAATCAAGTGCGTGACTGAGTATGGTATGCGTGAATGAGTTCGGTCTCTTTTAGCAATATTCCAGCAAAATCACGGCGGATTACACCAGAAATGGAATTAACACACTGTAGCCATGTGGGGAATCGAACACGGAGCTTCGGCGTGACGAGCTTGCGCATAACCACTAGGCTACCCCACCGCCTCCTCACAGCAAGGCTCGCTGCACATAATATCAGTGACTTGTTTGTTGGTCTGGATATGCTATTTAGGTATACTGCTGAGTTCGGCATTCAACAACAAACACACGAACACACCCACACACGGGCACGTACGCACACAAGCACAAGCACAAACGCACACTCATACACACCAAAACAAGGACGTAAGCGGCGTTCAAGTCGAACAAAGAATGAAATGGGGAGACAAAGGTTTACAAACACCGTTGTCTCGAAGTTTGATGTATCGAAGTAAATGCATGGTCATTATGTCTTCCTTACGACGTACCCATTTTGCAGTTGTGCCGGGAATCCGGTAATTTTGGGAATATTTACGTTGTTCCCTTCGATTTCGACATAACGGTGTTCGACTTTATCCATATCATTCATCGTAATGTACATGTAAATACTGTATAGTACACCCCACCCACCCCAGCCACTCACTCACTTGGCCACTGACTCGCTGACTCACTTACTCAACCACTCAACCACTCACTCTAACACTCACTCAACCACCCACAAACCCACTCAACCACCCACCAAACTCCACCCAAAACTCACTCACTCACTCGCTCAACCACACCCACCTCTCACACTCACTCAAACCACCCACCCATCAACTCACTCACTCACTTACCCACCCATCCATCTCGCTCAACCACCCGTCCATCATCTCACTCCACTCACTCACCCACCACCCAACCACCCCACCAACTCACTCACTCACTCACTCGCTCAACCACCCAACCGACAACTCACTCACTCACTCACTCACCCTCACTCACTCACCACTCACACACTCACTCACTCACCCACCCAACCACCCACCCAAAACTCACTCACCCATTGTGTCTACAAGTGACATATCAGTTATTTGTACCCACCTCCCGTGTATCGACGTCCAGTGGCGCGTACCTCCAGGGACCCGGGGATAGAGTTGTTGAACTGAAGATGAAGGAACTGCCCCAGGGGTCGTTTTTCACAGTAGAGAGTAAGCGGACTAGGAGTAGGGGCGGCTGACGTTGAAGAGCTTTCATAAACTGCACACTCTCTGCTCGAGTTCTGCATGATGTCAATAACCGCGACCTCGACTTTGAAATTTGATGTCTCGGAATCTGTAAACATATAGGTCCCCAGACTTGTGGAAACGTGTTTGTCCTAACGTACACACGGAAATAGAAATAAAATGTTTATTGGCGTTTATTTGTTTACGGGTAGTTTTAACAAATATCAAAATAACTAATCATCATCAAAAGTACCATTTTACAGGTAAATATAACACAAATTTGCCTGTAATCAACAAAGTTAGAAACATGTTATAATTTACGTCACAATCAACAATGGTGGTAGCAACAACCTGCAGCACTGTTTGGACGGAAAGATGCATTTGCGCGTGCGTTGCCATAGCGATTGTGCAATTGCCACTCAAGGCTTTGAATGAACTCGTAAAAATAGTAAACAAGAGTACAGGCATGAAAAATGTACTGAGAAAATCCCCAACCCAATTATTTTTATATCAATTAGGATAAAAGAACTAAAGGCTGAACGGTATTTGACGTTTATCATAAAATATATTATGTACGCGTACCTATGGAGAGTACATCTCTCATTAGCATACTATACCTTGCATTAGAAACGTTCATTTTGACTTGAATGAAATTTCATGACTGAGGTAAAAATGACACGATTTGCTCTCCTGTAAACTCATCTATTTCGGTTGATTTTACAAAAAGTGTTAAAAACAAAAGTTGGGAAAAACGATAGTTATAGAATATTTATCAATCAAACTTTAATTGTGTTCAAAACTACAAAATAAACGCCAAAAAACATTTTAGGTACTTTATCTCGGTGTTTCTGACAGATATGCGAAGAACGGGGTATTATACATGAACATTAAGCTCTTTTATGACCCAAGGCATAAATGTAAATTTGTTTTGAACTAATTATGAAAGTTACCGGACATATGCAGGTTATAAATGACATAAACAAGAACGACAAATGCTTAGTTTTAGGTAAACACAATTCGGTATCGGTTTCCTTCATACATTCAAGCCAATTCTTGACTGTAACAGATTTTGATCTTAAGAGAACAATAAACACAGTAAATAGACGCGGCAACGACCTTTCGAGAAAAGTAAAGCCGTTGAACAGTTGAACATAAACTATATACATGTATTCATCTGCGGACAGGATTGTAACGTTGATGGTCATCCGTAAAAAGCACTTAAATCGTAACATTGACAGTACTCCATACATCACATTTACTGTTGTAGACGATCGTAACACTGACAGTACTCCATACATCACACTTACTGTTGTAGACGATCGTAACACTGACACTACTCCATACATCACACTTACTGTTGTAGACGATCGTAACACTGACAGTACTCCATACATCACACTTACTGTTGTAGACGATCGTAACACTGACAGTACTCCATACATCACACTTACTGTTGTAGACGATCGTAACACTGACAGTACTCCATACATCACACTTACTGTTGTAGACGATCGTAACACTGACAGTACTCCATACATCACACTTACTGTTGTAGACGATCGTAACACTAACACAGTACTCCATACACACTTACTGTTGTAGACGATCGTAACACTGACAAGTACTCCATACTCACACTTACTGTTGTAGACGATCGTAACACTGACAGTACTCCATACATCACACTTACTGTTGTAGACGATCGTAACACTGACAGTACTCCATACATCACACTTACTGTTGTAGACGATCGTAACACTGACAGTACTCCATACATCACACTTACTGTTGTAGACGATCGTAACACTGACAGTACCCATACATCACAGTACTTACTGTTGTAGACGATCGTAACACTGACAGTACCCCATACATCACACTTTTACTGTTGTAGACGATCGTAATACTGACTGTACTCCATACATCACACTTACTGTTGTAGACGATCGTAACACGGACAGTACCCCATCATACATCACACTTACTGTTGTAGACGATCGTAACACTGACAGTACTCCATACATCACACTTACTGTTGTAGACGATCGTAACACTGACAGTACTCCATACATCACACTTACTGTTGTAGACGATCGTAACACTGACACTACTCCATACATCACACTTACTGTTGTAGACGATCGTAACACTGACAGTACTCATACATCACTGTTGTTACTGTTGTAGACGATCGTAACACTGACAGTACTCCATACATCACACTTACTGTTGTAGACGATCGTAACACTGACAGTACTCCATACATCACACTTACTGTTGTAGACGATCGTAACACTGACAGTACTCCATACATCACACTTACTGTTGTAGACGATCGTAACACTGACTGTACTCCATACATCACACTTACTGTTGTAGACGATCGTAACACTGACAGTACTCCATACATCACACTTACTGTTGTAGAAGATCGTAACACTGACAGTACTCCATACATCACACTTACTGTTGTAGACGATCGTAACACTGACTGTACTCCATACATCACACTTACTGTTGTAGAAGATCGTAACACTGACAGTACTCCATACATCACACTTACTGTTGTAGACGATCGTAACACTGACAGTACTCCATACATCACACTTACTGTTGTAGACGATCGTAACACTGACTGTACTCCATACATCACACTTACTGTTGTAGAAGATCGTAACACTGACAGTACTCCATACATCACACTTACTGTTGTAGAAGATCGTAACACTGACAGTACCCATACCATCACACTTACTGTTGTAGACGATCGTAACACTAACAGTACTCCATACATCACACTTACTGTTGTTGTAGACGATCGTAACACTGACAGTACTCCATACATCACACACTTACCGTTGTAGACGATCGTAACACTGACAGTACTCCATACATCACACTTACTGTTGTAGACGATCGTAACACTGATCACACTTTACGTACTCCATACATCACACTTACCGTTGTAGACGATCGTAACACTGACACTACTCCATACATCACACTTACCGTTGTAGACGATCGTAACACTGACACTACTCCATACATCACACTTACCGTTGTAGACGATCGTAACACTGACACTACTCCATACATCACACTTACTGTTGTAGGAGATCGTAACACTGACACTACTCTATACATCACACTTACCGTTGTAGACGATCGTAACACTGACACTACTCCATATATCACACTTACTGTTGAAGGAGATTGTAACGCTGCTCAACTCATAGGTGCTTGTGTTGAGAAACTCAAAGATTACTGAATCATCCGGGCAGGTAGGGGGGTCCCGGTCTACATACAGCTCGCCTTTGTCGATGAGTATATTATCTTCGTCTGGAAATAGACGATCATGGTAACATCATTCAATTTTCTATCAACATTTGCATGTAAATTCACAAGTACAAGCATGAAAATACCTTGGTTTGATGAACAGATCAGACAAGGCCAAGCTGCCATGTTGATCTCAACAAACTTTGTTTACGGGCCTAAACCATGACTGTAATAATCCATCCAGTTCGTTATAAGTAAATTATTCGTAATAAACACGAATGACATGTCCAATAATGAATTAACGCGCCCTCTATTTTGTTAACGTCATTCAAACAATTATTGCCGTGACGTCTTTTGACGTCGACGTCATAGTATATGCGGGTATATATTCCTGTCAAGGGGGAAAATCCGGCAACACGACAATGTCCCTTCTAGGGTGAGTAGGTTGGGCTTTTGCACCACCTTTAGCAATACTGCAATACTGCAGCAATACTGCAGCAATACTGCAGCAATACCACGGCGGGGAACACCATAAATGGGTTTCACATATTGTACCCACGTGGGGAATCGAACCTGAGCCTTTGGCGTGATGAGCGGACGCTTTAACCACTGGGTTACCTTACCGCCCCTCCCTTTTCAGGATCCATATGTGTATTGCCATTGCGTTTGAGTGCCATGGGTTTAATTTTATCGGACTGGTTGTTATCATAATATTCAGAGCCAAAATTACACATTGACTTACTGGAGCAGGTGGTTGCGGGAAAAGACCATGTGCCATTCTCATTGCAGTTTACTTGACCCGACCCCGACTGGTGATAGAATTCCAGGTCACATGCATACACAGCCGTACTGGAGGCCGAAGAAAAGTCCACGGAATCCACGCGAAGTCCGTAAAGGGTCGGCGGATGTCCACACCGCTCTGTACCAATACAAGATAAGACATTCAAACGGCAGAGATATCCTTCATTCTGTACCTGGCAAATAGCAGGGTCAATATATACACGATAGGACATTCAATCGTCAATCTCACAGATATATCCTTCATTCTCTATCTGGGCCCCGTTTCACCAAGCTACCGTAGCGCTACGACTGTCGTACCTCCTATACTGTAACATAGACTTACGACAGTCGTAGCGCTACGATAGCTTGGTGAAACGGGGCCCTGGCACACAGCGTTGTATCAGCACAAGACCTCAGTCTCAAAGATATATATACTACTGGACTAAAAGATAAAAACAAAGACATATGTGAGATAGATGATAATTGTTTTACAAACAAAAATCATATTCCAACAATTTGACTGAAAATTCATTGTAATGCTGGTCTTGCATTTGCTGCAGTTCGTTAAGAAAGAGTCAAGGGGTCAAAATAAAGAATTACATAAATCACTGACACCAGAGTACACTGTGCGTACAGAGTCACATTATGAGACAGGAGTCCTGAGACACGACATCAATAGCGAGTGTGACAGCCCTGGGCATTCAACGAGTACACGCCTAAGAGAGTCTGTTTAAGTTCCTGTCGGGTCGCTGGAGGTGGTACACGCTGTCTCAGCTGACGATCAAGATGAGCCCAGATGTACAACGGGGTTCCTGTCTGGAGAACGCGCTGGCCACGGCAATGCTTTGACGCTAACGCCGTGCGGGTATTCCGGCGGCGTGAGGCCATGAGTTGTAGTGCTGTGACTCCTCTTGGCTCTTGTTAAATACAAGGCTCCACAAAAGGTCTCAGTACTTAATACCCCTATCGCTGGGCATTCAGATTTCCTCGGATGATAACCAGTCGTGTTGTTCTCTGACACCTCAATCGAACGTGTGAACGCAGTTTGGCGCCTGTTGCTCTCCTCTCCATCGAAAAACTCGAACTATGCCATCGTTTCTGAACAGACTGAAGCGACTTTCATCTGTCAAGAGCATAATCCCAGTCACATAGCTGCTACCGACCTACAGTTCGGGTCCATTGCAGTCCGAGTTGAAAACGGGTCAAGGCCATTCAAAGGCCAGGCTCGTATACCACCCATACCAAGTCATCGAAGGACTGTTCGCCTGCTGATGGCGTGTCCTAGTGCCTTTGTCGTCGCCGTCACGAAATTGTTCCGGGGGTGGATCTACCGAATGCAGCGCCCTTTGGCTAGTGTCGTGACCCATCGTCTTCCCGATCTTGGGCGGTCTCGGGTCTAACCTGTTTGCTGGTAGCGGTTTATCAGTTAACTGGGGTTTTTTTGGTTGTTTTTTTTGTTACTGCATGTTTGCTCTGTCTAAAATCAGCATCTTTGCCACATATCGTGCACGTGCATTTGGACGAGGCAGTAACGGTACACCGAATGCACCATATGGTCAGATTGACTTAGCGTTAACGTCGGGTCCTTGGCCCTGTCGTAAGCGTCGTTCAGTTCGTGCATTCAGACATGTTCTCCGAGGAAAAAGTTTAGAAGTCGGCCATGCCTGTACAACAATGCTGAGGCCTACCATACAAACGGTGAACAAATCATCACAACTGAACTCATATACACCAAAACAGGACAAAAATCACCAAAATAGAAAAAAACCTTCCAAAACTGCAACAATATCCTCTAAAACCGAAACAATACATCTGTAATGGAAGACTAATCGTTTGAAATGGAAACAAAACTCGCATATCAGCTATAAAAGAGCGCGCGAGAACGGTCGCCGAGCGTACAAAACGGCATTCATAGCATCCCAACACGGCAGTCATAGCATTTCGAAATGGCATACAAATCGTCAAAGATGTCGGCGAGGGGAGACGAACAGACTTTGGTACATAATGTTTTTCGTCACTATGAGTCTAATCTTGAAAACTTGATATCGGGATGTCAACCCCCTATTGTAGTAAGCTTCAAACCTATGTCCATACTACTCAGTGTCAGGCTTGCAATTCTGCACAATGTGGTCCCTCGTTCACCCGAATAGGATTTGTTGTCAACATGTCGTGCTACTGTTTCTCTTCAGTTTTGTAAATAAAGTATTCATAGCGTCACATTCAACCTTACTATATTTCAGTGATTTAAAAAGCTTACAAAAACTTGTTCATTCTCAGTGAATTGCATATCTAAGTGATCATTTTTAAAGTGTACGAGTGCAAACTCAATCCACTGATTAGGGCAGGGATTTCTGTTTCAAGTCCACAGGAGGCGACTTCCTGAGACTTGCAAGAAAAAAGACGGACGTATGTTTGTACCTCAAGTTGAACTTATTTTCTGTTAATTGATTCAACGATGCGGAGTTGTGTTCCCACCAGCTGACGACGTCACCAACTGTTGACGTCACAAACTGACGACATCACCAACGTCACCAACTGAGTTACGCAAGCGTCGCTATTAATTCAACATTCTCTTGAACGCCTGTAGCCCTTGCGCGACCACCAGATCTGGCCAGATGAGGTGAGGACTCAACAGTGTATTGCCCCCGTCATGTTATTCTGAACCTTAGGCGATGTCTACACCAAGCAAAGCATATCTGACGGTGACGTGGAATCATATTTGGGTGTGTCGCTGGACGTTGGGCCGGAAGTTTTGCCCCCTCAGTCGGTTGTGTGCAGTGTTGCCACTATTTGGTCTCAACCAGGAATTTCTCCTAGCTGTTAATATGGCAGTTTGCATCGATTCCTAATGATGCACCAACCAAATATGGTTGTCTTGTTGGTGTGACGACACAAGTGGATGACAGTCCCTTGTAAAGTTATAAGTGTTAACGTGTTGTAGGTGCTGTGTTTCGAAGACCATGAAGTGTCCTTCAGGTTTGTTTTGTGTCGTTCCTGTTTACAGCATACTTACGGCGCGTAGACGTTCGCTGGTTTACACCGAACAATTACACTCCGTAGGCGTTATTAACGACTTAACAAAAGTGTTGCTATGGGCACCTGGGTGCCGTTCTGCAAAACAACCTTAGCGCTAAGTCTACCGTAGGTCTATGTTGAGGCATGGAAATACGATCATCTTAGCGCTAAGGTTGTTTTGTACAACGGTACCCTGACCAAACACACTCCTTGTGAGCTGTTCACGTATTTTAAAAAAGACCCGCAAATCCCAAGGCAGTTATTTTAGCATGGCGTGGAACTGCGTAAACTCTATTTTTGGTTAAAGAAAACGTTTTTACTTGTTTCCTGAACAAATTTAACCGAATAACTCTAAATATAAAAAATATAAAACGAACACAACTGACCTGCTGATGCCAAGATCTCCCGGCCATGCACCTGTAAGTCACATAGCCTTGGTGTTCCTTCTGACCATTCCCCACCTATTTTGATGATGATGGTGTTACCCATGGGCTTGGCACTTCCTCCCTGGCAGTCAATGGTGATCTCTTGTTCCAGATTTCCAATCTCAGTTTCACGACACAGCGAGCTGGTTACCGGGGGTAAGCCCTCCACAGTCACCTCGACCCCAAGGGTATTCAGTATTGGTTCACCTGAAAGAAGAACTGAGATGTCAATACATATTGACCTTGGTGTGAGCACTACAAGCATGTCTACACGTGTGTATATTTCATGTGTGTATAAATATACACACGTAAGTATATTTGACAAGTGATAACGTTTACTCGTGTGTGTACATTTACACCAGGACCGGTGGTGGGGTAGCCTAGTTGTTAAAGCGTTCGCTTGTCATGCCGTAGATCCGGGTTCGATTCCCCACGTTGGTACAATGAGTCAGGCCCATTTCGGTGTCTCCCGCCGCGATATTGCTATATGCGGTGTAAAACAATACTCACTCTCTCACTGCACCAGGAGCAAATTTGCGCCATGTAGCCTTGTTAAGGTTAAGTAATAGGGGGTGGGTATTGCAGAGAATTTTCATATTGCGATATATTGCGATGCGAAAGTATATATTGCGATGTGTACTGCAATATATTGCAATAAGTTGTTTTTGACAAAATACTACTTATAATCGAGTTAATTTCGATTTATAAAGGAAAACCACAACAAAATCACTATGCTTGATTAAGCTTTAAAAAATCCCTTTTAATCATGAAAAAAAATGTGAATAACATTTGGCACAAATGAAACAAGGAAATATCCGAAGATTTCCGAGTGTTACGAAGTTTTCCGAATGCATGTCAAAATACCGGTTTTCCATCAGCGTATCGCAATACGTATCGTTTTTACGTCTGAACCGGTAAATACCGGTAAACCGGTTATATTGCGCAGCCCTATTAAGTAAGGGGTTGGTGATTGAATCACTATTGTTGTGACACATTGGTCTGTCGTTCAGACCCTGAAGCAAATATATCCAAAAAAAGCCCACGCAAGTATAGAAAATGTGGCAAGTCTAGATTTCCTCAGCTTCTGAAAATGAAGAAAGTCTCAGGGCTCCTTTTCATTATATTATATTTTCTTTTACTATGAACTTTTTTCAGTAAAATATGTTCATTTCAGAGACTAGTTGTTAGTCTAGTGACACATGTACCCATATAGATATCTATTTCCTAGCTTTTTCATTCACCTGATGAAGGAGTATAAGAACATACTCTAAATGATCGTGTTCCTCAAACTAAAGAAGGTGACATCCATAAATCATCGCCTGTAAACTGACCACAGCTCTGTAAACTGACCACAGCTGACGATGAAGTTGACGATGTTCCGTTAACAGCATTACGATCTTTTATGTAGACATTCTCACCTGACCAGACCGTGTCTTCACTGTGTTTTAAGAAGTTTATTCTTTTATATGACCTTATTTGGAGAACGACATTGTCATGTTGAAAAAAGGACAATAATATGTGTGCCTTGCAGCCTTTACATACCCTATTTACACATCTTAGTTAATTGTCAAACGAACACAGTACAATTTCATAACACACCAGGCGCGAAGCAAGCCAAATTCTTTTTCAGAGAGTCGTCCTTGGGGTTCATAATATGCATTTTCTGCGGCTGAAAATGTCATGTGACAGTTGTATCAATGTTTTATAACAATATTGTGCAATAAATAAAATATTTTTTTATCTATTATACGGCCCCCACCACGTGGAGTTACCCCCTGCTACGCATGCGCAGCCAACCAGGTAAGCACCTAGGCCCGTATCACCATTCCTTCTGCTGTCACTCTAGCGTTCACATGTGTTCCCTGAGAGATTATAAGCTGAGTTACTTCTTTTGAAGAATGTCTGAGACTTCAACTACTGTATGTGTGGTCTTTATTCGTTCTTGAGATACGTTTTATTGACTTTGCAGTCAGTTATTTCTCATTTATGTGACTTTGTATCAAACTTTTATGCTAGCCATCCCGTGGTTTACGCACGTGTTGCTATTCCCTGGCGGGAAGTTTAGCGTGCAACGTGGTGGAAATATTAACCAAGTATTTCATATCCCGTTGTCGCATTCACGTAATTTTCAATGTTTTGTACGTATATTTTATGCTGTTGTGTCGCCGTTAGCTACATGCTTGCGTGTTTGCCTGCTGGCAAAATATCCCTCGCTCAGATAAGCATGACAAGTGCTTATGCTGCCTGGAGAAGGCAGGGCATAACCCTGACATCTGTGAATTGTGTATTGGCTTTTTCCCCGGGCCCAGAAGAGACGGGCGGCTGACTTCATTTTTTATAAGGAATTGCGTGAGGCGGGAGGGGACTTGACCCAGGAGGTTCAACCGTCCAGGGCCAAAAGGCCAAATCTAGGGCGTCTTCGCATAAATCACACACTAGTGCACAATCTACTGGTTTTGATATGTCCGTTATCACACAATTGTTTCAACAGCATATGGACACCGTGAAGTCCCTAGTTCATGAGTCGGTTGGAGGTCTCCGGCAGAAGTTCCTCACCCACTCTGAACGGGGGGCCGAGAGTCCGGGGGTAGGATCGCCGAGCTCAGCTCGATCCCTGGGCCTGGAGGCATCTGTCGATCCTTTGCCTTTGGCTTCGGGTCCGGACGCTTGGCTACCCCGTAGGGGGAGGGTTCGCTCCCAGTCCCTCTCTCGGTGTTGGCCCAGGGTCCGTTGAGGATTCCTGGGATTCCGGTCCCTGCGCCACCCCGCCCCATGAGAGCAGAAGACCTGGTTTTGCCCAGGCTTCCTCCTGTGTCTCAGGAACCGGGGTTCGAGTGTTGTGTCGGTTACCGGAGCTGAGAGTTCCTTCGGCTCTTCCCTTCCCGAAGCGTCCATGGCTCGGCATCCCACCGGGTCGGGGCTCGGCTCCTCTTCACGTGGAGATCCGAATTCTGACTCGGGCTCGGGTGCCGAGTCTATGGAGGTTGGGGAGGTAGAGGACTCGGAGGGTGCTGTGCGTTTTTCGACGGCTCTACGGGAGGTTCGGCAACGTATTGCCTTGTGTCTTCCCCAAGCCGTGGTGCTGACATGTAGCTCGGACTCGACAGAGTTCCGCCTGCCGGGAGAGTCGTTTGCTCCTAGGCAGCCCTCTCAGACACAGCTCCTCATCTTGCCCTCCCTGGTGCTGGACGTGATGGATCCGCTCCGGGTTGGTTCTCACCTCCGGTTCGATCTACCCAAACTCGTTAAGAGATATCAGCTAGGTGAGGATTCTCTGTTCTTTCTGCCGGTGGTGGACGAGTGTGTTTTCACTTCGGTCGCCCTCGGGGGAGGCCCGGCTTCCTCAGGAGCAGCCCCGGCTGCCATGCAAGGGCGGTTAGTACCCCATTGCAGCAGGCTTACCGGACTTACAAGGGAGTCTACTGGAATGCCATGCAGCAGGTGAGGGTAGTGGTCCATGAGGCGTACCTTTCCTCCATTCAAAGGTCGGCTCTGGAGGCAGAAGGGAGCACTGGTGACATTTCCCCGCATGTTGTTCTTCTTCGCCAGCTATCTGAAGTTCAGGCCCACCTGACGCGCGACTCTTTACGGTCGACTGCGTCCACGGTGATGTGCGCAGTACTCGGCAGCAACACAGCAGGCCTTGCTGGCCCTTCCATTTCAGCTGGGAGCGACGTTTCCGGGGGCACAGCAGGTCATTCGGGAGGGCTGCTGCAGCAGCAACATCCTTCAAGGACTCTAAAGCCTTGTTGGAGCAACTGCGGGCTTCTTGCTCCCGCGCTCCCGTAGCGGGTTCTTCCTCCGGGGCGCAGCCTATGCCTGAGTCTGCCGGCTGGTTTCAGCCACTGGGTAGAGGGAGGAGGAGGAGCCGTGCCACCAAAGGTAAGGGCAATGAGCAGGCCTCTTCGTCTGGCTCCTATCTGCCCCGACCCCCCGTTAGATCTGCCGGCTGTCGGCGTGGGTCCGTCCCAGCCAGTTCATCTGCAGGGGACCACTCATGCGCTCTTACCACACGTCCCAGTGGGAGGACGCCTCTTTCTATTCCTACCGGGGTGGGAGAAGGCTACCAGCATCAGAATTCACCATCAGTGTTGGCCATCTACCACTGTGGAAGCGAGGCCCTCCAGAGTTCACCGGCATAAGGCGCACTCCGGTGCCGTCATGTCTGGTCAGGGCGGGTATACTACGCGACGAAATCCATGCTTTGCTGGACAAGTCCACAATAGAGTGCATACCACCGGGTGAGGAACAGGCGGGATTTTATTCCACGTACTTCCTCGTTCCGAAGAAGGACGACGGGTTCCGTCCCATTATCAACCTCAAGGAGCTAAATCGCATGTTAGAGGTTCCATCCTTCAAGATGGAGACACTTCGCTCGGTGATCTCCTCTGTTCAGCTCGGCGATTTGCTTACGTCAATCGACCTGAAGAATGCGTATCTCCATGTGTCAATTCATCCCTCGTTCAAGCAGTGCCTCCGGTTCTCTTATGACGGGATGTGTTACTAATTCACGGTGCTCCCCTTCGGCATATCCACTGCCCCCCAGTGTGTTCGCCAAGCTCATGTTAGTGCCAGCTACCGTCGCAAGGTTGCAAGGAAGGCGTTGTTACCCTTACCTCGACGACTGGTTGCTCAGTGCTCTAACTCAGCTACACGGTGATAGACATTCTAGTTCGACTGGGGTGGATCATCAACCTCAATCCTGTTTGTTTTGGGCAGCCAGTCGGAGGCCTGCCTTCACATCAATGTCTTAGAACTGAGAGCTGTGCGGTTGGTTTTCGAGCGCTTCCGGGAGCATGTTCAGGGCCAGGTGGTTCGTCTTCAGTTAAACAACCGTACGGCCATGATGTACACCCTGAAGCAAGGCGGCACGGTGTCTCTAGCGCTCCTTCTGGAGACGTGGGAATTTCTACTCTGGTGCGACCAGTGCGACTGTCAGGTGCTTCCTGTTTATCTCCCGGGGCTGGAGAACGTGCGAGCAGACACCCTCTCGCCGGATCCTGGCACCGCACGAGTAGATGCTCGACCGGTAGATATTCGGAGTTATCTCCCAGTTGTACGGATCGTTCCAGGTGGATCTGTTTGCGTCCGGCGGGACGAATCAGATACCCATGTTCTGCTCTCGAATGCCGGACCAGGGGGGCGTTGGCTTCCGACCCCTTCCTGCTGGATTGGACGGGGAAGGTGCTGTGGGCGTTTCCGCCTCTACCCCTCATTCCCCTGGTCCTCTCCTAGCTGTCCACCCAGCCAGCTCGGCTACTTGTGCCGCTGGCACCACTTTGGCCGTCACACAGCTGGTTTCCGGTAATTCCAAGGTTCTGGCTCAGCCTCCTGTTCTATCACCTTTGCGACCGGACATTCTCACTCAGAACGTCGCACCACACCCCAATCCAAGGATTCAGTGGGTGGCTTGGCCTCTGTCAGGTCTACCCTCGAGGCACGAGGAATTCCGGCAGCAGTTGCAGACACAATTCTGGCTTCGAGGCAGAATTCGACAAACGTTCAATATGAGGATAGGTGGTCCGCTATGCACGCTGGTGTTCAGATGCGGGGATTGCAGATCCCTTTTCTGCGGAATTAGTCCGAGTATTGGAGTTTCTGCAAGCTCGTTTGGAAGAAGGCTTGGCGGCTTCGACCATTCGTGGCTACTCCACTGCTATTTCCACTTTTCACACCCCTGTCGATGGTGCTCTTCTGGGGTAGCACCCTCTTCTGCAGCGCTTTTTAGCTGGCGTGGATCGGGTTCGACCTGGTTTCAGGCGTACCAGCCCACCTTGGGATTTGTCAATCATGCTAGATTGGCTGTCCGGTCCTACGTTCTCACGTCTATCGGCTATTTCCATTCAGTTGTTAACATGGAAGGCCGTATTTCTGGTGGCGGTAACATCTGGGCACAGGGTTGGCGACTTACATGCTATGTCGGCAGACCCAGCGCTGACTGTGTTCCATCCAGATCGTGTCAGTATTCGCCTCTCGGATAGTTACCGTCCGAAGATCGATCACACTTTCCATGTGACAGCTCCTATCGAACTTCCTACTCTTACCCAGCCTTCCACATCAGGGACCTCTGCAACGAGCACTCACCCGTTGGATGTCCGTAAGACTCTCAAGGTCTATATCAAACAAACAGAAGGGGTCCGTACAGTTACCCATCTGTTCTGCTGTTACGGTGTCGGGAAGGCTGGGATGCTGGCTAGCAAACAGACCCTATCTCGCTGGCTTGTTTCGGTCATTTGTAGTGCTTATCAGGCTAAGTACAAGCCTCCCCCTGAGGGGTTGAAGGCTCACTCGGTCAGGGCAGTGGCCACTTCAAAGGCTTTTGCATCGGCACTGCCCATTGAAGAGATATGCTCTGCCGCTATTTGGAGCAGGCCTAGCTCTTTTATAAAGCACTATCAGCTCGATTCACATTCCCGTGATCGAGCGCATTTTGGCCGTTCTGTTCTCTCCAGTGGACAGTGTCCTGCCACCCTGACCGGGTGAGTCTTGGTAATCTGGACAGTTGATGCTGTTTTTCAATTGTGTATAATTGATATATTCACTGTTGACAAATCTAACTACTTTCGATTCTCTCATGCGATACTGGTCGGTTGTACGTTAGTTTTCCATCTTACGGTGCTCTTATATAGATTCACGAAGTGGGCGGGGTTTCTTACTTTCGCACTGTGTGCGTACGGTATTGCTTAACTTGTGAGGTCGGGTCTCGGTACGATCCTCCCTGTCGGTTCCCCTCCCATCATGCCTCTTGCGGAAGCTTCGGGACACGTGACAGATGAGTGTTATGGCGTCAGTTACTTTCTCAAGAACGATCGCTATTTTTGGGAGTCTGAGTTAATTAGCTAAACCTGTAGAGGGTTCCAATTCTTTGAGGAGAATCGTCCTTGGGGTAGGGCCACCCACCTCCCCGCAATTCTGTTCACTGATTTATTCAGCAGAAGGAATGGCGATACGGGCCTAGGTGCTTACCTGGTTGGCTGCGCATGCGTAGCAGGGGGGTAACTCAACGTGGTGGGGGCCGTATAATAGATAAACAAGATTTTTATTTATTGTACAATATTTTTATTAAAACATTGATACCACTGCCATATGACATTTTCAGCCGCAGAAAATGCATATATGTACCCCAAGGACGATTCTCTTCAAAGATTTGGAAACCTCTACAGGTTTAGCTAAGTTTTCGTGTAAGCCCGATAGGTTGCAAAGCTTCATATTCAGATATTGAGGGCTTGTCCAACTTTTTTAGCAACAATCAGGTGTAAGCCCGGGCTTTTTTTTATAATGATAGCTACACCCCTGCACACGTACGTATAGAATATACGTGCGTAGTTACGTGACGTTTAGTGCATGTGAACGGAGCGTTAGGTAAAACATCCCTGTGTGCAGCGATCCAATATCACGGGTCAGCATACCGTGGGAGATGAGTCTTGGTAACGTCATCACGTTGGTTAAACCCACGAGCGTGGATATGAAGCGGACAAACCATGAAAAGTTACCTGACTTTGAACCCATGAAACGGGGGCATGCCAAAGGGACGCAACTCTTCACGGTAAATCGCAACACGTCAGTCTACCGGGCCTCCCGGGCCCAAGCTAGCGTAGGAGGATACAGTTACATTAACGTTGCCAACACACCGTGGACCAATTGCACAAAGCGATTTTACATGGCACTGTCGTCGCTTCTATATTTTATGATAGTTTCACGATAACCTTAGTGTTAAGATCACGTGATCAACCTTGGTTCTAAGATTTAAGGATGAAAAGATACGTACCACGTGTTTTACGGGTTAAAGTGCGGGAACTACTCTCTATGTGTTCTGCTTAATCGATCGGGAAATATGTACCGAGTATTGTACAGGATAAGAAATACATATTACAGACACTTGAAATTTCGAGGCTCTGAAAGAAACTTAAAGTAACGAGAAAATATTCAAACCAATTAGTAAATACTTGCAATTTCCACCTTTTGAAAGAAACTTGAAGTAACGAGAAAATTTTCAAACCAATCAGTAAATACTTGAAATTTCGACCCTTTGAAAGAAACTTGAAGTAACGAGAAATTTCAAACAAAAACGCATTGCTGTAAAAGTGGCAATGTTAAGCCTTCGTACATTAACGCTCAGGTTAGGGTATAAACGAAATCGTACTTTCACTGTATCTTGTTAAGGTGCGGGGCGGTAGCGTAGCCTAGTAGTTAAAGCGTTCGCTCGTCACGCCGAAGACCCGGGTTCGATTCCCCACATGGGTACATTGTGTGAAACCCATTTCTGGTGTCCCTCGCCGCGATATTGATGGAATATTGTTAAAATCGGTGTAAAACCAAACTCACTCACTCAATTATTAAGGTGAATACAACGTGCTCCCGGCAATGTATTAAAACGTCAACGCCAGAACTTAACCAGTCTCGATTATCCGCCGATATAAATTCCATCGGGCGTACAAGGAAAAGTAGCCATACAATTTATGCATACCTCCGCTCGTTATCGTGAAAGATAACTTATGAATCTCCCAATTCCCGTTTCCAAGAGAGACGTTGATGACCCCGAATGCATCACATGTTCCATTCTTGTCCTTGATGACTGTCACAGGTTCCTGCAGATTCTCAACTGAGCCTGAAGGAAGGGGGATCAGTTGAAGTCAAACTTTATATACTCATCATAGAAATAAACGCATTTATTGCGCTACAGAAATGGGCGAGATTAATTCCAACTGACTATCAAAGCCTCCAGTGTTCAGATGTATAGCCCATTATGTTGTATGGCCTTGAAGCCTTAAAATTCAATAAATTCTGTCTGTCTGTCTGTCTGTCTGTCTGTACAGCCGATAGAGCGAGAGACGAACGATAGTTTGAGGGATTCAGAGGTACAGCCCGTAGCTGTCGTTCGGAATACCTCGTGTTAAACTTTTAGGAAGTGTATGCCGACTTTCCGACTGTCACTGTCCAGGCCCCAATTTCTCGAAACAAACTTAAGTCTGAGTTTTTCTCAAATTTGAGAAAACACAGAAAAATGCATTTCCCAGAAAAAACTGAAATCAATATTAAACTCAAACATAGTAGACAATTTGAGTTTGGTAGATAGATTACAAGTTGTTTGGGCTTTTTTATTTTAAAAATGCAGTTGAGTTAAAATTCAGCTGTTTCAAATTGTCAAACTGAGTTTGAAATTTGAGTAAAAACTTAAGTTCATTTCGAGAAATCGGGGCCTGATTTGAAAAAGCGACGTTCTAATCGGTTGAGAGAAAGTACGTGTTGTCGTGACTGGTAATAGGATGTCCACAGATCTTTGTTTTGCGGTAGAGAGAAAAAATGACTGTTTTAAAGGGGGCTGGGTTTCAAGATAAGTTTTCTCAATGGAACTCATTTTATACATACGAAAGACAAATGACTCAAAACGTGAAAAGATATACATCCATGCATCTATCCATCCATCCATCCAAAGGCACGCACGGACGCACGTACGGACACACGCACGCACACACACGCACATACACACACACACACACACACACACACACACACATACATACATACATACATACAGTACTAGAAACCTACAAACAGGTAGCTGCACTTCATCCAAAGTGGAGTCCAGTGTCACTGTGAGGTTGCCAGAGATGTGGATGTAGCCGTCGTAGCACAGGTAGGTGACGAGTTCGCCCTCAACTGTTCTGTAGGCGAACGGTACTGGCTGGAGGTCATCAGCTACATGAGCACAATCAAAGAGCTAGTGAGTCCGTTAGTGCATGCTTGTGTTAGGCGAGTTGATGAGTGCGTTAGTGCATGCTTGTGTTAGGCGAGTTGGTGAGTGCGTTAGTGCATGCTTGAATTGGGCTAGTTGGTGAGTGCGTTAGTGCATGCTTGTGTTAGGTGAGTGCGTTAGAGCATGCTTGTGTTAGGCGAGTTGGTGAGTGCGTTAGTGCATGCTTGAATTGGGCTAGTTGGTGAGTCCCTTAGTGCATGCTTGTGTTAGGTGAGTGCGTTAGAGCATGCTTGTGTTAGGCGAGTTGGTGAATTTGTTAGTGCATGCTTGAATTAGGCGAGTTGGTGAGTGCGTTAGTGCATGCTTGTGTTAGACGAGTTGGTGAGTCCGTTAGTACATGCTTGTGTTACGTGAGTGCGTTGGTGCATGCTTGTGTTAGGCGAGTTGATGAGTGCGTTGGTGCATGCTTGAATTAGGCGAGTTGGTGAGTGCGTTAGTGCATGTTTGTGTTAGGCGAGTTGGTGAGTCCCTTAGTGCATGCTTGTGTTAGGTGAGTGCGTTAGTGCATGCTTGTGTTAGGCGAGTTGGTGAATTTGTTAGTGCATGCTTGAATTAGGCGAGTTGGTGAGTGCGTTAGTGCATGCTTGTGTTAGTCGAGTTGGTGAGTGCGTTAGTGCATGCTTGTGTTAGGCGACTTGGTGAGCGCGTTAGTGCATGCTTGTGTTAGGCGAGTTGGTGAGTGCGTTAGTGCAGGCTTGAATTGGACGAGTTGGTGAGTTCGTTGGTGCATTCTTGAATTAGGCAAGTTGGTGAGTCCGTTAGTGCATGCTTGTGTTAGTCGAGTTGGTGAGTGCCTTAGTGCATGCTTGTGTTAGGCGACTTGGTGAGTCCGTTAGTGCAGGCTTGAATTAGGCGAGTTGGTGAGTGCGTTAGTGCATGCTTGTGTTAGACGAGTTGGTGAGTTCGTTGGTGCATTCTTGAATTAGGCAAGTTGGTGAGTGCGTTAGTGCATGCTTGTGTTAGGCGAGTTGTTGAGTGCGTTAGTGCAAGCTTGTGTTAGGTGAGTGCGTAAGTGCATGCTTGTGTTAGGCGAGTTGGAGAGTGCGTTAGTGCATGCTTGAATTAGGCAAGTTGGTGAGTTGATGAGTGCGTTAGTGCATGCTTGAATTAGGCGATTTGGTGAGTGCGTAAGTGCATGCTTGTGTTAGGCGAGTTGGTGAGTCAGTTAGTGCATGCATGTGTTAGGTGAGTGCGTAAGTGCATGCTTGTGTGAGCGAGTTGGTCAGTGCGTTAGTGCATGCTTGAATTAGGCTAGTTGGTGAGTGCGTTGGTGCATGTTTGTGTTAGGTGAGTTGGTGATTGCGTTTGTGCGTGCTTGTGTTAGGCGAGTTGTTGAGTGCGTTAGTGCATGCTTGTGTTAGGCTAGTTGGTGAGTGCGTTAGTGCATGCTTGTGTTAGGTGAGTTGGTGATTGCGTTTGTGCGTGCTTGTGTTAGGTGAGTTGGTGAGTGCGTTAGTGCATGCTTGTGTTAGGTGAGTGCGTTAGTGGATGCTCGTGTTAGACGAGTTGGTGAGTGCATAGGTGCATGCTTGTGTTAGGCGAGTTGGTGTGTGCGTTGGTGCATGCTTGTGTTAGGCGTGTTGGTGAGTGCGTTGGTGCATGGTTGAATTAGGCAAGTTGATGAGTGCGTTGGTGCGTGCTTCTGTTAGGCGAGTTGGTAAGTCAGTTAGTGCATGCTTGTGTAAGGTGAGTGCGTTGGTGCATGCTTGTGTTAGGCGAGTTGATGGGTGTGTTAGTGCATGCTTGTGTTAGGCGAGTTGGTGAGTCAGCTAGTGCATACATGTGTTAGGTGAGTGCGTAAGTGCATGCTTGTGTGAGCGAGTTGGTCAGTGCGTTAGTGCATGCTTGAATTAGGCTAGTTGGTGAGTGCGTTGGTGCATGTTTGTGTTAGGCGAGTTTGTGAGTGCGTTAGTGCATGCTTGAATTAGGCTAGTTGGTGAGTGCGTTGGTGCATGTTTGTGTTAGGCGTGTTGTTAAGTGCGTTAGTGCATGCTTGAATTAGGTGAGTTGGTGAGTGCGTTAGTGCATGCTTGTGTTAGTCGAGTTGGTGAGTCCGTTAGTGCATGCTTGAATTAGACGAGTTGGTGAGTGTGTTGGTGCATGTTTGTGTTAGGCGATTTGGTGAGTGCGTTAGTGCATGTTTGTGTTAGGCGTGTTGTTGAGTGCGTTAGTGCATGCTTGAATTAGGCGAGTTGTTGAGTGCGTTGGTGCATGCTTGTGGTAGGCGAGTTGGTGAGTGCGTTGGTACGTGCTTGTGTTAGGCGTGTTGTTGAGTGCGTTAGTGCATGCTTGAATTAGGCGAGTTGTTGAGTGCGTTGGTGCATGCTTGAATTAGGCTAGTTGGTGAGTGTGTTGGTGCGTGCTTGTGTTAGGCATGTTGTTGAGTGCGTTGGTGCATGCTTGTGTTAGGCGAGTTGTTGAGTGCGTTGGTGCATGTTTGTGTTAGGCGAGTTGTTGAGTGCGTTTGTTCATGTTTGTGTTGGGCGAGTTGTTGAGTGCGTTAGTGCATGTTTGTGTTAGGCGTGTTGTTGAGTGCGTTGGTGCTTGTTTGTGTTAGGCGAGTTGTTGAGTGCGTTAGTGCATGCTTGTGTGCTGGGCGAGTTGATGAGGGCGTTTAAGTATGAGTTTGGGTTTTTTGACGAGCACCTGTGGTATTGACTTTAGTGAGTGCTCTCATTCGGCTAATTGATACCCATTTATATCATAAACGCCAAACAGAACCTTTCGTCAGATAATCCCGTACTTATTTAAATGAATATGAAACGGTTAACCCTCATTATCGGACACGTGTCATATGGTTCATACAACATCGATGTTCCATGTAAATAACCCTCAAGTTACGATTCGATGTAGAACTTACTAGAGAGCAAGCCATGATTTTGTAAATGCTTTAGATGGACGAATCTTATTGGTTTTCCGTCTATTAACTAGATAATACCGCGTATATGCATCTTCTACAACTCAAAACGTCAAGGCCAATGGACGAATATCGATTATCTGCCGAAACTGAGAAAATTGTCAAAGAATATAGCAATAAAAGCTATGCTATGAATTAGTCAATGACGCCAGGCAATTTGCATCTACATATATAAAATATCCTACCTGTAATGTTTGAGGTCCTAACACTGGATGAAGGTGTACTGGGTGAGACGAGACTGGGTGAGTCGCCTGCCGATACAGAGAAAATTGTAAAAGAATATAGTCATAAAAACTATGATATGAATTAGTCAATGACGCCAGGCAATTTGCATCTATAAAATATCCTACCTGTAATGTTTGAGGTCCTAACACTGGAAGAAGGTGTACTGGGTGGGACGACAGTGGGTGAGTTGCCTGCCGATACAGAGAAAATTGTAAAAGAATATAGTAATATAAGCTATGCTATGAATTACTCAATGGCTCAAGGCTTTTGCGTAAAGGCAGGGAATTTGCGTCTATGAAATATCCTACCTGGACTGAGTGATGTCATACCAAGCACGCCTAGCGCTAGAAGGAAGGCACAGTGAGACAGCATGCTGGAAACAAAGTCTACACATTATTTATAATAAAAATGAACATTACCCAGAAAAAGTCAAACTACAAGAGGGTTTCAAGAAGCATATCTACACTGTTAGGGGCGAGTGAGTCCATATTGTGAATTATACTGGTCAAAAACAATAGTCGGTTGTTGTTTAACGCCGCACTCAGCAGTATTCCAACTATTTCGGGCGGTCTGTAAATAATCCAGTCTAAACCAGACAATCCAGTGATCAACAGCAGGAGTATAGTTCTACGCAACTGAATACGATGACATGTGACCACCCGATCCCGTTAGTCGCCTCTTACGACAAGTATGGGTTACTGAAGATCAATTCTAACTCGGAATTCACGGGTCCTTCGTCTCATTTTGGCAACTTCACGTTGATAGAGCCAATTTAGCCAGGGATTGTAAAGGATGACATGATTTGTTGGTCGAATGCATATTTCTGGACGAGGGATTGTGACAGGTGGCATGCCACTAAGGTAACGTTCTCCGACGTGGTTGTCCTGCTGTCGATAACGTCGTCTTGGGCGTCTGCTGCGGCGAATCAGTTTCAAGTAACCCCATGGCTTGCAATTAATCATTTACACATTGGCAAAGCATGGTGAAATCTCAGCAAAACTATAACAAGTGGTGCTCTTCTGAACTCTACAGAATTGACAGAGAGTGGACATGATATTATGGTTGATATCTGACGTTTATAGAGACTATTTGAAGCCATTTATCCCGAAAATTCGCCAGACAAGTTGTTGTCAAAAAGTACACTCCCATCGACATCGGCTGGTTATACCTGTTTAGGGTGAACAACAGACAAACCTGTCAATTTCTTTAGGGTGACCAAGAAAATTCCCTGTCTTCAACAATCTTGCCTTTTGCCTTAGTTTCAACAATCCTACCTTTGTGGGTTAACCACAGATATCCCTATTTTCAACGTCCTTACCAACTTTGTGGGTGAAGAGCAAACATCCATGTTTTCAACAATCCTACCTTTTGCCTTAAGTTCACTATTCCTACATTTTGCCTTCAGACTTCCCTGGTTTTGACAATCTCACTTTTTGGTAGACAAACAGACTCGATTTCAACAACCGTGTCTGTAAACAACAAAGACCCCTGTTTTCAACAACCTTACCTCTTTCTGAACAATACGACCCCTGTTTTCAACAACCTAACCTTTTCCTGAACAACAACCCCTGATTTCAACAACCTTACCTTTTTCTGAACAACAGACACCCCTGTTTTCAACAACTTTGCCTTTTTCTGAACAACAGACACCCCTGTTTTCAACAAGCTTATCTTTTTCTGAACAACGGACACCCCTGTTTTCAACAACCTTACCTTTTTCTGAACAACAGACACCCCTGTTTTCAACAACTTTGCCTTTTTCTGAACAACAGACACCCCTGTTTTCAACAACCTTAACTTTTTCTGAACAACAGACACCCCTGTTTTCAACAAGCTTATCTTTTTCTGAACAACAGACACCCCTGATTTCAACAACCTAACTTTTTTCTGAACAACAGACACCCCTGATTTCAACAACCTAACTTTTTTCTGAACAACGGACACTCCTGTTTTCAACAACCTAACTTTTTTCTGAACAACAGACAACCCTGATTTCAACAACCTAACTTTTTTCTGAACAACAGACACCCCTGATTTCAACAACTTAACTTTTTTCTGAACAACGGACACCCTCGTTTTCAACAAGCTGATCTTTTCTGAAACACAGACCCCTCTGTTGTCAACAACCTACCTTTTTCTGAACAACAGACACCCCTGTTTTCAACAAACAACAGACACCCCTATCTTTTCTGAACAACAGACACCCCTGTTTTCAACAACCTTACCTTTCTCTGAACAACAGACACCCCTGTTTTCAACAACCTTACCTTTTTCTGAACAACAGACACCCCTGTTTTCAACAACCTTACCTTTTCTGAACAACAGACACCCCTGTTTTCAACAACCTTTACCTTTTTCTGAACAACAGACACCCCTGTTTTCAACAAGCTTATCTTTTTCTGAACAACGGACACCTCTGTTTTCAACAACTTTGACCTTTTTCTGAACAACGGACACCTCTGTTTTCAACAACCTTACCTTTTTCTGAACAACGGACACCCCTGTTTTCTGAACAACAGACACCCCTTTTTCAACAACCTTACCTTTTTCTGAACAACAGACACCTCTGTTTTCAACGACTTTGCCTTTTATTGAACAACAGACACCACTGTTTTCAACAAGCTTATCTTTTTCTGAACAACAGACACCCCTGATTTCAACAACCTTACCTTTTTCTGAACAACAGACACCTCTGTTTTCAACGACTTTGCCTTTTATTGAACAACAGACACCCCTGATTTCAACAACCTTACCTTTTTCTGAACAACAGACACCCCTGATTTCAACAACCTTACCTTTTTCTGAACAACAGACACCCCTGTTTTCAACAACCTTTCCTTTTTCTGAACAACAGACAACCCTCTTTTCAACAACTTTACCTTTTTCTGAACAACAAACACCCCTGTTTGCAACAAGCTTATCTTTTTCTGAACATCAGACACCCCTGTTTTCAACAACCTTACCTTTTTCTGAACAACAGACACCCCTGTTTTCAACAACCTTACCTTTTTTCTGAACAACAGACACCCCTGTTTTCAACAACTTAACTTTTTTCTGAACAACAGACACCCCTGTTTTCAACAAGCTTATCTTTTCTGAAACACAGACACCTCTGTTGTCAACAACCTTACCTTTTTCTGAACAACGGACACCCCTGTTTTCAACAACCTTACCTTTTTCTGAACAACAGACACCCCTGTTTTCAACAACCTTACTCTTTTCTGAACAACAGACACCCCTGTTTTCAACAAGCTTATCTTTTCTGAACAACAGACACCTCTGTTGTCAACAACCTTACCTTTTTCTGAACAACGGACACCCCTGTTTTCAACAACCTTACCTTTTTCTGAACAACAGACACCCCTGATTTCAACAACCTAACTTTTTTCTGAACAACGGACAACCCTCTTTTCAACAACTTTACCTTTTTCTGAACAACAAACACCCCTGTTTTCAACAAGCTTATCTTTTTCTGAACATCAGACACCCCTGTTTTCAACATCTTTACCTTTTTCTGAACAAAAGACAACCCCGTTTTCAACAAGCTTATATGTTTCTGAACAACAGACACCCCTGATTTCAACAACTTAACTTTTTTCTGAACAACAGACACCCCTGTTTTCAACAAGCTTATCTTTTCTGAAACACAGACACCTCTGTTGTCAACAACCTAACCTTTTTCTGAACAACGGACACGACTGTTTTCAACAACCTTACCTTTTTCTGAACAACAGACACCCCTGTTTTCAAAAACCTTACTCTTTTCTGATCAACAGACACCCCTGCTTTCAACAAGCCTATCTTTTCTGAACCACAGACACCTCTGTTGTCAACAACCTTACCTCTTTCTGAACAACAGACACCCGTTTTCAACAACCTTACCTTTCTCTGAACAACAGACACCCCTGTTTTCAACAAGCTTACCTTTTTCTGAACAACAGACACCCCTGATTTCAACAACCTAACTTTTTTCTGAACAACAGACACCTCTGTTTTCAACAACTTTACCTTTTCCTGAACAAGAGACACCCCTGATTTCAACAACCTAACTTTTTTCTGAACAACGGACACCCCTGTTTTCAACAAGATTATCTTTTTCTGAACAACAGACACCCCTGTTTTCAACAACCTTACTTTTTTCTGAACAACAGACACCCCTGTTTTCAACAAGCTTATCTTTTCTGAACAACAGACACCTCTGTCGTCAACAACCTTACCTCTTTCTGACCAACAGACACCCGTTTACAACAACCTTACCTCTCTCTGAACAACAGACACCTCTGTTTTCAACAACCTTACCTTTCTCTGAACAACAGACACCCCTGTTTTCAACAACATTACCTTTCTCTGAACAACAGACACCCCTGTTTTCAACAACCTTACCTTTTTCTGAACACCGACCACCCTGTTTTCAACAAACTTATCTTTTTCTGAACAACGGACACCACTGATTTCAACAACCTAACTTTTTTCTGAACAACGGACACTCCTGTTTTCAACAAGCTTATCTTTTCCTGAACAAGAGACACCTCTGTTTTCAACAACCTGACCTTTTTCTGAACAACAGACACCCCTGTTTTCAACAAGATTATCTGAACAACTGAACAACAGACACCCCTGTTTTGACCAACAAGCCTATCTTTTCTGAACCACAGACACCTCTGTTGTCAACAACCTTACGTCTCTCTGAACAACAGACACCTCTGTTTTCAACAAGCTTATCTTCTCTGAACAACAGACACCTCTATTGTCAACAACCTTACCTCTGTCTGAACAACAGACACCTCTGTTGTCAACAACCTTACCTTTCTCTGAACAACAGACACCTCTGTTTTCAACAACCTTACCTTTCTCTCAACAACAGACACCTCTGTTGTCAACAACCTTACCTCTCTCTGAACAACAGACACCTCTGTTTTCAACAAGCTTACCTTTCTCTCAACAACAGAAACCTCTGTTGTCAACAACCTTACCTCTCTCTGAACAACAGACACCTCTGTTTTCAACAACCTTACCTTTCGGGTGACCAAGAAACATCACTGTGTTCAGCAACGTACACAAAAGCTCTAGGCCAGTTTGTGTCGTGGAACAGAGTAGAAACAGTTTGAATCGTTTGAAGTAAGTTCTAAGGATGCTTTTGGTTAATTATGAATATGCGTGAAAACCATGTAAGAGAAGCACTCAAGTCACCTGTACATCAATCCATCAAACACCTAGACATGGACCAGAACCATGAGAAGGTCACAGGATGAAAGCCCTTCACAAAAGTTCGTACATATTTTAAAACTCTTTCGTGTTTGCATTAAAGAAAACGCTTGGCAGTTATAGGTCATGGTGCTTTCGTTCGACTTCTACATGTTACAGGCGATATA